CTGGTTGGGGGGCACTGAGGGGGCAGGACGGGATGGGGCTGGGTGCAGGGCTGGCCAGTGTTGGGCTGCTCGGGAGGTGGCAGTGGGTGGGTGTCAGGCATCAGGGTGGGGATGGGCACTGGGCAGGGGGATTTGCTGCAGTCAGGGGCCAGGGTCTGCAGGCTTGTGCCATTGCCAAGGGGCTGGTGAAAAGGCACCAGGGGCAGCGCCAGAACACGACCTGGGTCAGTGAAAGGGCTGGTGGGTCCAGCTGAGAGCCAGGACTCCTCTGGGTTCTGTTCTGGGCTCGCGGGTTGGGGGGGATCCGGTGGGGGGAGCAGGGGAGCTGGGCCTAGCTGTCTGTGCCTGGGGCCCCATCCCAGAGCCGACGGTGCGAAGCGCCGGGGCTGGCGGAGCGGCACTGATGTGACTGTGCAGGGGATTATAGCGGAGCTGAGTCAGTCGGATCCCCGTCCCTGGGGCACTGGTGGGGCCTGGCCGAGGGCCAAACCCTGCTCTGGCCTGTCGGGAGCAAGGGGAGGCAGGACCCCGCTGGCCTGCTCCTGCCAGGGGGATCCTTGGGCTGGCCAGAGCCAGGGAGGGGTTGGCGTCCAGGTGTCCCCAGGTGCCTATGGCCAGTGCCCATCTCCTCCAGGCTCAGCGTGCCCCGGGGCATGGCCCCTCCTGCTGCCACGTTTCCGCTGCCGCCCAGATGTGCCACGGGGCACGTCCGAAACAGCCTGGCCTGGGAGTCAGAGCAGCTCCAGCCACCACCTCAGTTCTGGGCCCAGCGGGCTCTGACTACAGGGGTGCTGGAGCCAGGGTGCTGCCCGGGCTCTGGGGGCTCCCGGCTTGGGGGCATGGAGAATGAGGAACAGAGACTTCCCCTGGAGCAGGCACCGGTTCTCATTCAGCCCCAGGGTGGGGGAACTGGCTGCTCATGGTGTCATTCCTATCTTGGGCTCCCACCTCCCCTTGTGGGATCGCTGCCCGGCCCAGGCCATCACCCCTCCGCGGGTGGGTGCCCCCCCGTCAAAGCCTGTCCCTGGGCCTGGCAGTGAGGACAGGGGCCTGACTGCTGCTCGAGCATTGGCACAGGAGGGACCAGGGATCCCAGAGCACATGTGGGTTTGTGCCCCCTCGGCTGGGCCACTCGGCTGGGAACAGGACTGGCAGATTTCAGAGCGGGACCAAGGGGGGCACTGAGGGTGTTGGAAGCCGAGCACATGGGGGGGCAGCCCTGTACCCCCAGCGAGGGAGTGGGGAGGATGCCCCCTGGGGCCGGCCCACCTCTGACCCACGGCCCCTTGTCCCCAGCCCTCGGAGTGTGAGCAGTGCACCTGTGACCCGGACGGCATCGCTCGCTGCCTGGTGGCCGACTGCGCCCCCCCGCCCTGCGTCAACGCCGTCTACGAGACGGGCCAGTGCTGCCCCACGTGCCAGGACGGTGAGCATGGGGGAGGGGCTTTGGCTTGGGAGAAGGGGATGCGACAGCCCTGGGGCGGGGGCATTTGCAGCCCCCCCAGAGGCAGGGAGTGGTGCAGTCACTGTGGGACCCTGGGCAAGGGTGGGGGAGAGGAGAGGTGCTCAGCTGTGGGGCGGAGAATGAGAGGGGAGGGGAAGGCAAAGCCTGAAGTTTGGGGAATGGCCCTGGGTGGGGTGGGGTGGGGTGGGGCTGGACAGGGCCCCTGGGGGCACCAGGCTCTGCACTGCTGGGGGAGGCTGGCTGGAGGCTCCCATGGCAGGCGGTACCAGGAGCCGCCCGGCCACACCCACTGCTGACCGGAGCCCTGCACCCCCCCAGGTCCCAACTGCTACGCGGACAGGAGCCGGACGCGCATCATCCCCGCCGGAGAGGCCGTCTGGGTGGAGCCCTGCACCCGGTGTCGCTGCCACGACGGCCAGGACGCAGGCTACTGGGAAGGCAACCGGGTGGCCAAGTGCGAACTGCTCCGTAACTGCCGCCCGCTGGACCGGCCCGACTCCTGAGCGCCCCTCTCCCAACCCCATCCCCCACCTCCTGCTGGGCCGCAGAGCCTCCCCCACCTTCTGCTGGGCCGCAGAGCCCCCCTCAAAAAAAAACCCCTCCCCCCTCCTGCTGGGCTGCAGAGGCCCCCCCAAAACACCCCTCCCCCACTTCCCGCTGGGCCACAGAGCCCCTCCCAAAACCCCTCCCCCCACCTGCTGGGTCCCTTGGGCCGCAGAGCACCCCCAGCTGCACCACTGACCCCTTCCCAGCCATGCCACTAGTCTCCTCTGGACCATCAGCCTCTTCCCAGCCCCATGGCTGGACCCCAGGCTCTTCCCCAACACCTCATCACCCCCCAGCTGGCCTGCACCAGGGGGCCCCCTCCCCAGCCCAGCTCCTGCCCCCTCATCCCCAGCCAGGCTCCCTTGGAGTCACTCCCCCCCCACCTTGTGGCTGCGAGCCCTGTGGCAGCAAACCCACCCCACCCCCAGCTGGGTGGGCTCCCAGCAGCTCCCTGAGCAGTGCCCCCAGGGGGGTCGGGGGCTGCCCACACCAGCAGGGTAGGTAGGGGGCGACTCCAGAGTCCCCCCCACCACACACACACACAATGCAATACCCACCTCCCACCCTCAGCCTTGCTGGGAGGACCCTGAAACCCAGCCCCAACTTGGGGAGCTCTCAGGGAGTCAGACAGAGGCTCCCGCGTGGACAGCCCTGAGCCACTGGCAATAAAGCTCCTTCTGGGTACGACTCCCTCTGGCTTCTTCCCACCGGGACCTGCCCCCATCCAGGGACAGTGGGGCTTGGCTGGCTCTCAAACCCTGGGGTCCCCCAGCTCTGCCAGCAGGTAGGGGCTCGACAGGGCTGCAGGATTGGTCCCAGCACCCAGGGGGCCTAGGTCCGGAGAAGTACTCTGCCCCCCAACACAGGCTCTGAGTTTTTGCAACTTTATTAAATACAAAAGTCTGGTCGCTGGGACCAAAGGCTGCATTCAGGATACGCTCAAAACAGGTCAAACATTCAAATGTACAAAAGTCAGCGGTGCCCCTGGCCTGGGCCTGCTGCCTTCCCTGCCCCCCCCCGGCGTCCAGAGGGGGG